TCTGTATTCAGTTCCCTCGAGAGAGTCGTGTACTTTATATCCGGTCATCGAGCGCTATATAAATTATACTCGAGTATGAATCAACAAACTACACCGACAAGGCTCGAATCAAATGCATTGCCCTCACACCAAGTGCGGGGTTAGATAAATACACCTATCTATCCTTAAATACTGAGATCTTTCCCCTTGGGGTTCAATTTAGACGGCTCAATGACACCAGAGAATCCTAACATTCTAAGCTGGTTGACACACTAGTTCATCTTGTCATTCAAATCCACGATCTCCCAGTCTTGCTCGTTAAGCCTAAACAGGTATTCTTCTGCAGCCGTCCTCTCTTTAGCTTCTTCATTCTCATCTAGGTCCTCAAGAATAGGAAGTGGAATCTCACAATCGGCCAATATGTTTTGTCAAACGGCAGATTGCCGGTAGAAAAACTCGGCCTCCTTGGCCTTCTTTTTCAGCAGCGATAAAGCACTCTGTCCTAACCTGAATCTGCTTCTCGACAAGCGAAAGAATGTTGAACTTCTCAAGGAACCACGGAGATACCACGATTCCTTCATGACGCTTCAGCTGGGAGTTCTCCTTTCTTAGCTAAGCCATCTCCTCGTTTACATTTGTCTCTAAGATCAGAGAGTCTTGGTAGTCGAGATCATATTGATGGAGACGGCATTGATATTCTTCTTCCTTTTGTTTGAAATGCTGTACCAGTCGAGAGTGTATCTGTACATTGTATGCCTGGACAGCATCGACAATGTCCTTCTCGAGAATCCTTACTGTAGAAATATTATGGATATTCTCCAATTTTCTCATCACTAAAGAAACCATAGCATACATGGAAAAGTGTTTTGATTGGTTCTCATCCAAGATCATCAAATGTACCTGGTGAACAAATTATGATTCCTATCATAAGACACGGAATAAAGTCAAGAGGCTAAATACCATAAAAAGTAACTAGAAATACTTAGAAAAGATGTTCAAAATCACTACCGCGGGCAATGTTACAAGGGATCCTTAAATTCAAAAGAAGTTCTATTACAAGAAGATAAACTCATACAGCTGCTTAGACGTGAGGAGTATTCCCTGGCTGGTTTTCAGACGTCCCCTCAACGGGGGGATCATTCTCCTTGGCCCTGCCAGCATTCTCCTCGGCAGGGGGATCTTGGTCCTTAGCCCCAGAATTGGCCGTCTCGCCCTCCTCCAAGACGTCATCCTCGTCATCCTCCTCGAGATCAATGCCAAAATACTCGTCGGGGACATCAGGGGCCTCCGGTTCCTCACTAGGTCCCCTCGATAGGACGGCGGAAACATCCTCTGGAAACAAGGAAATATCCTCAGGGGCACCCATCTTAGCTAGGGCCTCGCACAATGGTTCCAAAAATGGAAGCTGCTCGATTCCCATTTTACAAAGGCACTTGACCAAAGCTTTATGCATGACTTTCTTAGGGTTCTCCCTCAGAAATTGTTTGAGCCACTTGGCTTTGATAGGCCTTTTTGACTTGAGTCTCTTTAGGCCTGCAACAGTAACTTCATGGCCGCCATACGCAACCGAGGCCATGTTGACCTCCTCCACGGCTACAGTCATCCCACCTGTGGATAACATCCTCCACCAGAAAGTGGTGCACCACTTGTTGAGATCTTCCTTGGAAATGTGAAGATTATTGTATTCCTGGAGTTTTTGATTTAGCTCCTCAAGTTGCGTTTGAACCACCGCCAGCTCCTTCTCCCTAGATTGCAGCTGTTGATTTTTCTCCTCGAGTGCCAGTTTCTCGATTAAAGCCTGGTCCCTCTCGGCACGAGCTTCAGCTAGCTCCGACCTTAAGTCCCTTGATCTCTTTGTATAGTTCATCATCACTGTGGTCATCTGCAAGAACCAAGCAAAGAATATGTGCACACTCATACCAAAATATGAACATTCGGGTGTATAGCATGATATTAGACGTTTACCATTTTCAGGCCATCAGCCTCAGTCAAAGTAGCAGCAAACTCTTTCAACAAGGGACATTCAATTGTTGGCGGATCGCCAAAGGTATAAACTGCAGCAGAAGGTCCTCCTGCAAATAGTTCAGCAGGCAGAATGGTTACATCTCCCTCAAGGGGATCCTTGCCTTTTTCCATGGGTGGAGATTGAGTGCTTGGCCCAGTTTCCTTCACCAAGTGTGTCTCCTTCTCGACGTGTGGCGGCACTATAGGTTCCTCGAGAACAGAAAGAATGGTCTTCTCTCCCTCCTTTGCTGGTTCTGTTTTCTTCGAGACAGAAACATCAATCTTGGATTTCTTGGTGTTGGGTCCCTTCTCGGAATCCTTTGCATTCCTCTTCTTCTTCTTCTTCACTTTCTCCACCAGTGTTTTCGTCGTGGATGTGTTTTCATCTGAGTTCACAACGTTAAACAAGTCAGAATCACCATATAGCCCAGGACCGGCATTTTCTGACGACATGACCTAAAAATAAAGAGATAATAAAGAGATTAGTACCTTTCTGCTCTTCGACAGGGTTATCGAGGGTGTCATTAACTTCCTTCTCTTTGACGGGAACAGCGGGAATGAAATGTTGTACAGCATCCCACTTAACCACTTTGGAGTACTTCTCGAATTTCTTTAAGTCCTGGGCGAACTCTTTAATCTTTTCTTTATCTTCGTCTGTCCAGTCATCCTTTATTGCCTCAAATCCATTGCTTTCTCAATGATTCCAGGCAACACAATACATTTCAGACGCCTTTAGGTATAGAAAGTTTGGTTTCCATATAGAAGAACCACCGTATGCCTCTACTATCTTCTTGACGCCTAAGTTGGGATTCTTCTTAATAATATACCAATCTTGGAAAGATGTTGAAGCCATGGATGCTTTAAAGAAATATCTCCATAGCAACAGACACGGTTTCACTTTCACCCGTTGACATATTTCACAAAATCGAGAACGTATGTTATCGGATTCGTTGTGAATCGTGCCAAGGGGGGTTTTATAGTGTTGCACAATCTCCTCGAACAAAGAAAAAAGAGGAGACCTCAACCCTAGATACATAAAGCGATCATAGATGGTAAATTTTCCTTTTGGAGGAGTATTGGCCCTCTCGGTTCCTAAAGGGGCTCTAGCTTCTAGATCTAGGGTCAAGTCATATTTCGTCTTCACAGATTTTACCTTTTCATCGGAGTCTATAGTGGACGCAAAATCGTTGACAGATTTCTGTTTTGGGTTCCTAGCCATAATTATCTACTTATAACAATAAATAGATCTATAAATTCAAAGGGCTGGAAATGAAATAGAGATGTGAGAATCTAGGAACTTACTGCTGGAATAGGTTTCTACTCGCCTTTTGAGTTGTAGCCACCCTGGATTTTAGAGATGCGGCTTCTGCAAATATTCCGGCAGTAGAGACAAATAAACAGGGCAATTAAAAGGATTGCCGGCGTTTGAATAGTGAATCTCAAGATGGCCTCTTCCGGGAAGTTACGACTACTTCTGGAATGGAGGCGGAGAAAAATTAGAGAGGATTTTGTGTTTTGGTTCAACGACTGAAATGGGGGAATTAATCTTCTCTCACTGGATTTTAAAAGGGAAAAGCAAGGGGCTATGTACTCCCACGAAGTGACGGTTTCTCTACTTTCAAGGAGACCAATGGCCGCCGTTTGAGAAACGTGCAGAGTAATGGGACATGTCTGTACCTATTTAGGCGGGATTCCATGTCGGGTCACCTTCTTAGATTCTCGGGTTGAATCCTGATCCCCGAATTATTTCGCCAGACCTCTTCGATGCAAGATGGGTCGAAACTTGTCCACTCAACTTGGACCGGGTCCAGGTACCATTTATTTTGTGTAAAGTCTTATTTATTTCATATACACTTGACAGGGGCATTTGACGAGTCCATATCCACCACCGAGGCTGGACTGGCCCATCCGCTGAGTAAAGGGTCCAACCAACTCTGCTGAGGCGGTTAAGCAACACCAAACCTAGTAGGACTTCAGAGATCTTTCAGGTTATTCTATGCTTATAAATAGGGATGATTATTCAACAATTACGATATGCTATCTCTAGCTCCAATAATCACGTACACACTTCTCTATAACTCTATTTTCTTACTTAAGTATCGGAGTGTCTACCCTTAGGAGACCCCCGAGGCTCTGTTTTGCAGGAAACCCTATCGGAGTTCCGCTATAAAATCGGCGACACAATTCTAGGTTTCGTCATTAATGTTCTTAAACACACATTAATGTTAAAAATAAACTAACGAGTTCACATGATCGATGTGCAGGAATCAAAGTCAATGACTGTCTAATACTTCCTCCAATGCTTAATCATTCATTATTGGTTTCCACTTCATCAGACCAATTCCTAAATCCTAAGGAGATCATTTTTTTTTTTTCTAGAAATCCTAAAGAGGAGGGCTTTTTTTTAAAAAAAAATATTTTCAAAGGGCTCGAGAATAGTGCTATGCATATGGTCTCAATATAGTACTAGTAGTTAGACTTTTATAGTGATTTTAATGAGTTTCAGAGATCCCATCCTGCTAAGAGTGGGTTGCCGAAACTTTTTCCACATAAATATATTGATAAATGTAGGGCTCAGAAGATAGAGTGAGATAAAAAGGTTAAAGAAATGGAATTTGGGAACAGAGAGATGTAATTGAAGGAGAAACTATTGATGCAATTCAATACTAGCTAGTCATTTTAATTTGTCCTAAATATCATTTAATATGTTATTTTAATTGAAAATAAAATTTTAAAAATATATTTTCATATATATTATGTTATTTTTATTATGATAAAATAATTTTAAGGTTTTATTTTCAATTAAAAGAACATATTAAATGAAATTTAGGACAAATCAAAATATCTTATAATAAGAACCATAAGAAATTCTTATGTTTTGGGTGTTTAGGATAATAAAAAGAAGTCGTCACCAGAAGGACAAGACTGAGTGTAATTCAAGACTTCCAATAAATTGTATTAAAAAAAAAACTCCCAAGTCCCAATAAATACTAATTTCACATTGTTTAATCAATATAGTCAAATTGCCAGCATTCTAACAGCTCTTGTGTACTACTAGTATTTTATTGCGTATGAGTCATGAACAGATGAAGAGGGGTTAAAAAAAAAAAGGGTCAATGAAGTCTGCTTGCCCAATTCTATTTTGTAGTTAGTCTTTGGTTCATTCGCCACTCCTTTTCTTCATCAACTCAATCTGTTCCATTTTGATCACCATTTTCATTCTCTATTCTTATTGCCATTCAGATCAGTAATTGTCAAAAGCTTCCCCAACAACAACAAGATGGCTACAACTGACGTTGTTCGTTCCTCCTTACAACATATAGACTCTATCTTGTACCACATTGATCACCTGGATTCACCTAATGAGAGGATTGAGAAAATGATATATCGGTTGAGGATTCTCAAAGTGTTTGTTCTTTCAGCCAGAAAGTTGGGCTATAAACCTAGCCTAAGATCTTTCTTGGTAAAGCTTGAAAATATTGTTGGCCGACTCGCAGACCAGATTCACACTTTCCGTTTCGATTCAAATGCCTCTGTAGTTGACTTCGTACACAAGTTTGGAGCGGAGCTTCTAATTCTGTTTGGTGGAATGGATAAATGGTTCGCCATTCTCGCGGATTCCAAGCGACGACCAACTGATTCTCTCGCAACAGATGAAGTTTTGGAACTCATTAGCTGCTTCCTAGAGTATCTACCACCACTGGATGGACCTTGTTTATTCTCTTACCATATCAGGCTTCCACAAACAGTACAAGTCCTTGAAGACCAGATGGCATTCTTGAGAAGTCATGTCCTCTTTGCCAAACAGATCAATAATGTTGAACCTCCAGAAGATCTATTGGCTCGCGTTGGAGATATCGCTGTCGATGCAGCTTATCTGCTTCATTTGCGTGCTCTTTTCGCGGTTCATTATATCAAATATGATGAAATTCTGTCCAAGAGTTCAGTATTGGTGCAAAAACTCAAGCCTTCTGATCCTCAGGTCTGTAAGATTTACATTGACCTCTTGATGAGTACCTCAAAGTCATCGTCCACAAGATTTGATCCTGCTGATCAAGAGACGGATAACAAATCTCTTGTTCCAATGACGGATATCCTGCGTCATCTCATATCTCAGCTTTGGGAGGTTCTAGCACTCCATACTTCTTCTGTCATTGGGTCAATGAAGGATCAACTACTAGAGCTGTATGGAGGAATCAGATCCTTGAGAAAATTGTTTCTCCAGCAACTTCAGCAGCAGAAAAGAATTGATATGACCATCAAGGAACAACTTGTTGCTGTGGTAGGAAATGCTGGAGTTTTCATTTTCTCATTGTACCAGAAGACACAACCAGATCTTGGGCTTCTTCAGGTTGTGTTAGAAGAAATCCATATTATCATGAGAGAACTTGGAGAGAATGATCTGCAATTACCAGAGCTCAACATTCCAAGCACTACTCACTTGTCTTTTGTTGAATTTTTAATGGAAAGACTAATGGAAGTGATGACTAGCAATCTTGTACCAACAACTGTTAGCAGCAGTACTCAAACTATCCTAGACGAACTCGCGTCTTTAAGATCTCTCTTGGGGGAAAGGATAGAGGTTGGGGATCATGTTTGGGAGGTGGCATACAGGATAGAGGGCCTCATCAATGACCTAGAGGTTGGCCATCTTCCAGATTCTTTCATCACATCTTTTGAGTCCATCACAAAAGACATCAGAAATATTAAGACAGAAATTGAAGTGAAGAGAGCAAATCTTGGAGAAATCAAGGTAGTAAAGGAGGAGGTAGCCTTGACTCACAGTTTTGTGCAGCAACCACAAGCTCCACCATTGATAAAGGAAGTTGTAGGCTTGATTGACGAGGCAAACTCGATCACTAATCGGCTCAAAAGGGGAACCGAAAAATTGCAAATCGTCGCCATTGTGGGAATGCCGGGAATAGGCAAGACCACATTGGGTGAAAAAGTTTACAATGATCGTCCTGTGGAGCTGCATTTTTCTGTTTGCGCACTCACTACAGTGTCTCAAACATTTGACAAAATGAGAGTGCTACGCGACCTTTTAAAACAAGTTGACCCTGAGAAATACTCGAAGCTCTCGAGTAACGATACTGTGAATGATGTAGCAGATAAGCTGAGGCGCAGTTTAAAAGGAAAGCGATATCTCATCTTCTTGGATGATGTATGGGAAGCTAAAGTATGGGAGAGCTTGAAAGAATCATTCCCCGATGATTCTAGGGGAAGTCGAATAATGATGACAAGTCGTCATCATGATGCTTTTCCTCCCCAAATGCTGGATGACAAACCTCATGAAGTTCAACCACTCAGTAACAGCCAGAGCGTAGATTTATTGCGACATGAGTTATTCAGTGATGAAGGTTGGACTAATGAAGTAGGTGATCTCTGGATGCAGATTGCTAAACTCTGCCATGGCTTACCTCTCTCTATTGTCATTGTAGCTGGAGTTTTAAAATCCACACAGCCAGAGAAGTGGGAGGAAATTCTGGACAGTTTGATGAGCTCAGGCGCCACCACATTATACGAAAGGTGTAGAAACACTCTGGAGCTCAGTTACAGACATCTTCCAGAGCATTTAAAGCCATGCTTCCTTTATCTCGCGAGATTTCAAGAAGATCAACAGGTTTCAGTTAGGAGGTTGCTTCAGTTATGGATGGCCGAAGGTTTTGTTAGGAAAGCTGAGATGAAGAAGCGCCGGTCAAATGTTGCTGAAGAGTATCTGAAAGATTTGCTTGGAAGAAGCTTAGTTTTGGCTGCCGGAAAGAAGTCACTCGGCCAAGTGAAAACATGCCGGATTCATGACTTGGTTCATGAATTTTGTTTGCAGAAAGCCAAGGATGAACAGTTTCTCCATTTCCTGGAAGGAGGCCTGGATGAGCTTTTATCATTCAATGCGCCCTGGAACCTTCGGAGGCTTTGCATCCAATCTGATGTGAAGGATTTCAACAAGTCAAAGGTGTTCTGTCCTCGTGTTTGTTCTCTGCATTTGAAGCACATCAAACCAGAACAATGGAGGCTAGATATCTCAGACATGATTCACGCATGGAAACTCCTGAGAGTATTGGATTTGGAGCACATTGATTTAGATGGTCTTCCAAGTGAAATAGGGTTGCTTGTCCGGTTGGCCTATCTGGCGATTCGAGGCTTTTGGAAGGAAATGCCACCAACTATCGGTACTCTCTCTAATTTGGAAACTTTTATTATGAATCATAAAGGTGATCCGATTTCCATGCCAGACAGTTTTTGGAATCTACAGAAACTAAAGCATTTTTATACCACCTTGAGTTTTTTTATGGGCGGTATATTGCCTGTTGAGAATCTTGATAGCTCATCTGCTTTGAATGAGTTGGATAGGATTTGTGGTGTGATTTTTCCTCATGATGGGTCAGTGGAAAGGGTAATGCGAAAGTTTCCAAACATCCGCAAGTTGAAATGCACTTTTTACAATGATAGTTACAGAGAAAATCTCCAGGTTACGTTTCCGGATTTTCTGAATCAGCTAGAATCACTTCATATGTTTGGGCAGAACCATAGACTGCCAAGTAAAACTAGATTTGACTTATGTTTGCCAGAAAATTTGAAGAAATTGACATTGACAGCGTTTAACCTCTCTGCGAGGAGCCTTTCATGCATCGGTAAACTACCAAACCTTGAAGTCCTCAAATTCGATACCGTGCACTTCCCAGAGGATTCTTGGAGAATGGAAGAAGAGGAGTTTCCAAAGCTGAGAATTTTGAAATTACATGACGGGATTCAATGGTGGAGTAGTGGCTGTGATGATCAACTTGGATGCCTTGAAAAATTGGAGTTGCACCGTTGCCATAATTTGAAAGAGATGCCTTCTTGTCTAGAATGTGCTCCAATGCTTCAAATGATTGAGGTCGTTAATTGTGCTGAAAATGTTGCACAGATGGTGAAAGACATCGAGAAAGTGCAGGTGTTCAATGGGAATTCAGATTTGAAGATTATGATTCTGTAACCAAACTGCGCTGCTACTGTACTTATATTTGTTTCATTTGATCAATGTGGACACTCTTTTATGCGTGACAAATATGAATTTCGTGGTTGATTCTAGTTTCATGGTCTTCTGCCTTGTTTTTTCCCCGCACACAACTTTACATGAAGATTGGGGGTGACCATAATTTAATCCAACATCATCAACAGATATCAAACTAAAGCAAAAAATAAAAAATAAATTAAAAAAAAAAAGAGAGAGAGAGAGAGAAGGGGAAATAGGTTGCATTCTACAGGATTGGCAGTTTGGCACCCCTAAGTGGACTGAAATCTTGTCCCAAAATGCAGCCAAATTCATCAACCAAAAGTACTTCTGTTCAAAATTTCAAAGAAAAAACTTGAATTTTCCCCCTCTACGGACCTCTCCGAGTGGTCCCTAATTTGATTCTCTAGTACATTGCGAACTCATAAATATCAACATATAAGGACACAAAGCATGGAAAGATGGAGCCTGAGCATTAACATGTTTGGAAGCTTCTCAACGCAAAAGATGAGAATGAGATGAAATGATGAATCATTAGCACTGGAATGAACGAACCTTACGAGTCAATAGACAAATGATAACGGGTACAACCAATACCATCTGATAAAATATTGATCATCATCTATTAAGCTGGCACACAAATGTATCTATTGTGTTCCATGTGGAAACCAACTGTTGCATTGACCGTAAGTATAGCAGAAGAGATGGAAAATACAAGCAGACTGTGGTAGTTAATTTCTAACAAGATCAGCCTTGCAGGACATTCGCAAATTAGTTCAGAATACATACTTTTCCACTTTTATGTACATTCATAAGATTTATAGTGCAATGCAAAATATCTAGAAGAATTCGCTCTTCGACTGTCTTGGTTATATCTCCAGGAAATTTGAAACCTATTTATAGCTCTACTGCACATAAGCCTACGCAGATTACTAGTTTACTAACTCTAAAACAGATTAGTCCCACTACTCGGTAAGCAATGCACCTCAACACATAGTTGATGAGTTCACTGCTTGATTGTAAGCTCAGCCCTGAGATGTAGAATCCCATTGATGAAGTATTGACTATCATCAGCCACAAATGCTGTCCAGGGAACACCAAATAGGTTCCGATAACCAACTGCTTTTCCTCCAGTAAATTTGTAGTTTCCTTTGTACTTGCTCACGTAATCATCGTTAGGCTTTGATCTTGAGGCGAACTCGTAGTCAACAGCAAAAGATACTGACCCTTTCTCCTGCATGCCCAGGAACAGACCAAAGCAATGGAAAGAACTCTGTTGATCCATGTTGCAATGTGCAGACAAGAAAAACCCTTGCCCGCCCAAATGGAAAGCCTGTGAATATATACGTCCAGCCGGAAAGAGATTCACACACTCTTCTCGCTTGAGATCAAGGTACACGACACATTGTTGACGAGGCACTTCAAACTCCACGACTTTTACTGGTCGGTACTTGTATGCTCGCTCCACAAAACGACGATAAGAGGCATTGGACTCTTCAGCAATAAAAGTGCGCTGACGATATGGTGGTTCAGCTTTGAAAAAGAGAGCATCAACTACAAGTTTGGAAGCAAGTTCGGGATCAAAGTCATTGCAAGTCAGAACTTTCTTCAGCTTTCTACAAGTCATGTATGGGAAGCGAATCAAGCGAGCAAGTCGCATGCCCAATATATCTCGACGCTCATCCAGTTTCGGATAATGCATGCGAGCCCACTTCAACACAAAATCATAAACAGCATCCTCTGATGCAACTTGAAGATCATCACTAGACAAAACTGCCTCAATTCCAGCTAAAGGTAAATTCAATACCTCTTCTTGGAACCTAAAAAATCAGTAAAAACAGAGCTTGCACACATGATTATACATCTATAACAAATCACGTGATATGAATCATGAAAGCATGACAGCCAAAACTAGATTCTCAGTCAAGGGGACACTACCATAAATATATATATAATAAAAATGATCTCACTTGCAAACAAAATTCAAGTTCAAATAAAAACTCACTTTGTTACGTCCTTGTAACGTGAAGCAAGAAATTGTTTTGCGGCATCAGTCAGCGGCTGAACTGCATCACCCATCGACACACTTGATGGAAGATCCAAATAAAGTAGAGCTGACTCACAGGTCATGGGCAAGTTACGCAATAAGCGACTGCAGTATCTCATGCATGACGCAACCTCATACTTGTCAGCAGCCATTAGAACATCCAACAAAGCAGAAGGTGCTGTTGTCGACAAACTATTGTTGTACATAAAACTCAGGAGATCCATGAGAGCAGCTTCTTCTGCTCAAGAAGGAAAAATCAACAGATTCAGTTGATAAAAATAGTCTGCAGTCTTCATCTTAAGTGATATAGATAACCAGTAGGGTAGGCAGCAAAATCCAAGCATAAGAAATATACACATTAAAAAGTGGTTTACGCATAAAATGTATAGAAAGTTCGAACTTGTACGCATTACAAGCTATCATTGCAAGTCATTACAAGCTATCATTCACTGTTTTCCAGTGAACAGAAATCTTGAATTATTTGAAGTAAATATACAAAGGTACTGCAATTACCAGATGCATGAATTCGAAGAGTAACTTGCCGTTGCTCTGATTCCTTCATACCATTCGAGAATAGCTACAAAGAAAAGTGGATAGGTGAGTTATATAACAAAAAAAAAAAAAAAGTTGTAAAAAAGTACAATGGTACATTCACTGCCCATACTTTGTAAAAAAAAGGACTTTTAGCTGCCAAAATAGGTGAACTGATGTGTATAGTCTTAACGGTAAGTGCAGTAGAACAATCCATATTCAAGGATGAGTCACTTTCCTCAGTAGCTTCGTCATCTACAAGAGTAAACCATGGTAATATTTGTGAGTAGGTGCAACCGTTATGTTCAGCGATCTCTGGTAACTTACATATGTAATCAGGAGAAGCGAAAAAAATCCACGATAAATTTCTTAGAACTAGGTTAAATCATTCGAAGAAGCACGATGGTGATATATGACCCGCATAGCTGACCACACTGAATTCGCAAATGAACAGAAAAAGGTCCTAATATACACTAAATATATATTACACAGAATAATAGTAGTACCAAGTTGGTCGGGTGCCATTCCAATGCCTTGGGGTGGTTCCTCGATCATCGCTACAGCTTCCTCATCTTGATTTTCATTTTCATAAGGAACAGCATCATCTGTATCCGGCATATTGCAATTCAAAATTTGCTCCTCACGCTGCATAACATCTGCATCTGTCAATAGTACAATTTCGATAAAAACATCAAGAAAAACCAAGGATAAGGTAAAGTTCAGCAATTTTACTGCAGAAGAGAGACAATAACACCTGAACTGCAAAAGAGAGACAATAACACCACCAGGCGACAAACTAAAAAATAATGATTTTATTTCTTCCTCCTACTGATGCAGTTCCCGCCAAAGCCATCAGAAGATGCATGCCCAGGTTACTTTAAGAAGTCAATTATTGCCATATAGCCTTCAACAATAACCTTTAATGTCACATAATAATTTTACATTTCGACTTATAAGAAGTAATGGAAACACACAATTCCGATGAAGAACTTATATTGACACCACCGACATAACCGCCCTCTAAACATTGTTCAGAAATGATGCCTTTTCCTAGAATTATACACAAACTCTAATGAAGGATCACCGAAATATATACCAGCGAATCAAAACCCCAAACATCAAATGATCATTTCAAAGAAAGGCTCTTGATAATTATTTCTTCAACTCAAAAGTAAAATAACGGAGCCCTAACCATCTTCTCCCTCCTTTATTACTCCCATTGGAGCAACATAAGCTCTGCAACTGCACACCCTTTTAACATCAGCATGAAACTAAATTCTCCCAGTTAAACACATCTATGAACTCATATTGGGATAGAAAAAAGTCACACACCAATCATCCTCAGCTAGGTTAAACCACCAATTACTCCCCAAATAAAATCAAATTCAGAGGCAATTCAGCCTAAAATCAAAGAAGTAACTTGAATTCAACTATGAAACTGTACCCCCCAAACCTATCAGCATCAAGCTGTTGATTGCCCCAATCACATTGAACCCGAGAATGCCTCTAAAAACCCAGGTCAAAGACTCAATCTTGCTCATATATAAGGAGAATTAAAGGAACCCATTTTACAAAATCTAAAACCCAGAAAGGAAAAAGCAAATGTTTGTTTAACCGAGAACACAAGTATGCATGCACATTTACAATGACACAGAAACGCCCAATTAAAGAAAGAAGAACATTACAAACAGGGAAACCTTACCGGCGTCTTTCTTAATATCTTCACGGCGGCGCTTGCGGTTGCGAGCCCAATCAGCAATGGTGGAACAGCCATCGGAGTCGGATTTGGAGTCGGGCAAATCAGGAAGAATCTCAATTCGCAGGACCCGGTCGGAGAAGTTACTATCGTTGAAAGCGAACCCAAAATCCGAGTCCGACCCGTGATGACTATGTGGCCCGGCTCCCCGCTCCCCGTCCCCCGGTGGAAAATCAGAGTCCATCTCCGTTAACGCGTCGAATAGATCACCCCCGTTCAAACTTTTCATTCACAGTAAAACCAAAAAAAGAACCCAGAACGAAATGAAAATTGAAAAGAAATGGTTTTTCATTTATATTTATGACTCTGCAAAATAGGCAAAAAGGGACGTTGTGATTCCTTGAGTTTTTAAAGTGTGTAAAAATGAAATTACTGTAATAGTAATAATCTGTCCAAAAAAGATAAACAACCAAAGTACTATATCAACAGATAAGAAGTTCTGTTCCTTCTGTTTCTGTCGGTCTGGCTCATAGATGTGGGTTTTTTTTTTTTTTTGTGTAGAAACTGAAAACGAACGTTGTTGAGGTGTAATTTTAATGTTTGAGATTGTTTTTGTGTTCGTTCAAAGGTTGGATTGTGTGACTTTAAGTTTCATTTCATAAATCATGATCATATTCACATCATTGTTTCCTTCATTGCCCTTTTTTCTTTTGTCTCTTAAATTTAGTTTATAGGCTCCTTCAAAATATATTTATGGTCTACTTAATTTTATTCTTTTAAAAAATATGAATAAAAAGGTTAGAAAAAGATAATTATAATAATAAGGAACGTTGCCACGTAAGCTTATACCGTCAGATACCATGAGCAGCTCCCAATCAAAATAAAAATTTTAATAAAGCAGACAATAATTGGATGGTTTTGCCATTAATGTACTTTTTTTCTTTTTTCTTTTTTTTTTTCCCAATTTGTGGATGGTAGTTGACGAAGCATGGATTCACACCGACGTTTCCAGTTGATTGAACCGGCGGTCATGGCGGTATCAAAACCCTAAAACCTGCAAAGAAAGGCCTCGGGGTCTCCCAGGGTAAACACTCCGATGCTTAAGTCAGTAAGAGTAATTGTAATAAGGTATAAATTGTGGTGCGTAGAGCGTACCTTTAACCGTGAGAGGTTGATCCCTATTTATAGAGCTAGGTTATGGAGCCCTTTCTTGGTAGGAAAGTAATTAGGAACCGAACTTGGGCCGGCCTAGTCACGGGCCGTACTAATTTGGACTCGTCAAGTGCCCCTTATCGAGCCTATACTTCGAAGTCTGAAGATAGGGTAGGCTTGATAACATGCAGTATAAATTTTCCTCAAGTTCGAAAAGGACTGACTTGAATCGGAAACCTGTGACAGGTTAGCATCGAGGATAAATCAAAGCAATGAAAGAATTAGCGCGTATCTTTCTCGATGTACATGTCACTTATCATGATTGACATCGAAGTATGAGGAAGATAAAGTCACTAGTCCAGACTTTTAATCGAGAAAGCATCATGTGATGATCTTCACAATCTACACCAAAGAAATATCAAGGCAAATGTCTCGCTCCTTGAGAGGATTATAGAAGAAGAAGTAGTGGAGATTCCCACTATTTCATATACAATGGTGTGTTGTCAATAACCGACAGAACAAGGGATCTGCTCGAAGGCTACAATGCCCTCTTCTGATCGAGAACCATTAACTCCAAATCTCGAGAATAACAATTGAGAAGTGATATCGAGTAGCATCGAGAGTAGAGGCAAAAGGTATGCATAAATAAGGTCGAACACATGAATCTCGAGAACTTTGAGAAGATAATATCGAGAAGGAGATGTCTGGCAATACTATGTTGAGAATCAAGAAAAAAAATGTAATAGACTGTGATTTACTGACATTTGTCGTCGAAGATATAAGTTCAAAAAGAAACATAAGCTGGAGCTGCATGCCAAGAACTTAGCCCAATATAATCTGTTGTCGAGAAGGAAACATAGTGGAGATTCCCACTAGTCTCAATATGAATATCATTAGCAGCGGCTAAGATGTACCAACTGTCGAGATGAGGAGTCGACTAGAGAGCTGTGACATATGTTTCTAAGCGAGAGATAATCAACCCAAACCCTCGAGAATAACCACAGTGTAGTGGATCGAGAAGGATTATAAATGAAGACAGAATATGCCATTGATACTCGATGTCGAGGACATAAGTTTGAAATTGAACATTGTCTGAGGCTGAACTATACGTCGAGAATTTGCCCCAGCATAATCATGAGCATCCTCGATTGTCGATGAGAGATAGAAGGCAGCATAGAATACCGTAGAACGTGCCGCATGTGATCACGTTAGCGCAAGGATGGTGAGACTCGAGAAGATTCTCTCGAGTAGAATTCCAGACAAAACTCAAGAACTACAACTATCTGACCTTGAAGAAGGTACGCAAGTATTTTAAGCTAATTAATATCCGCCCAACCGACCCGCTTACCATTTCTCATGTCCTGAGAAATAAAGCTTAGAACCCTTAGTCCGGGTTTGAGAAGTATAAATCAGGTTGATGTGTCGAACCCGAGTAGGTGTATAATATCGTTGCTCGAGACTTGAGCAAGAATCGAGGAGGTATTACGCATTAGTGTGAGAAGGAACGATGCCCCAGTCTGAGCATTAAGTGAAGACCACTGAGAATAGTTATAGGAAGAGATCCGTACACTAATGATCCTCGGAAAAAACAAAAAGACAACCTCCCAAACATCTTAAACACCTTCCAGACACTTTACACACCTTCCAGACACCTTACACTCTCCCATATATAAACGTTCCTCGTTATAGATAACCCCGGAACCATTACTCATCTCAGAGCCCCCAAGTCTTGGGGTGGCATTTGGCAGACCGAGACTTTTTAGATAAGAATAGTATGAGAGTGTAATTTTTGCTGCTCAGTTCGAGGTGATGCCTGCTCAAGAAGCCCCCATACTCGTAGGGTTAAGGCAATAAAATGGCGTCTATCAGAAGGGGATAGATGGCAACCACCATAATCAAAGAAGTAGGCCTGTGTTGACAAGGCGCAAAGTAAACTTGAGAATATCGAGAAGAAAGTCATTTGCATTGGATGATATAGTTGATCGATCCAATAGAGCATACTCGAGAACAAGTATGGTTCTCATTGAGGTGTAAAACACGTGTTTAGTTTCGAGGGATAGTCCACCCATTGTTCAAGATCATGAAAATCTAGGCCTTTCTCAATACCAGATGTCGAGTACACGGCTTGTGAGTTATTTGTAAAGCGTTTATAATGGTCGGATGTTAAGTACACGGCTCTTTTGCAGGCGATCCTGAAGAGGATACCTTTGTATAGACGATTCTGAAGAGAATGCCTTTTTAAGGACGATCCTGAAGAGGATATCCTCGAGGAGGCTGGGTACGAGCTCTTCGAATTCAGACTGTTAGCCGTAACAGTTAAGGGTAGCATGACCCAATGAATGTCCGGATGTTGAATACATGGCACTTTCGAGGACGGTCCTGAAGAGGATGTCCGTTCAAATGACTAGTCATGTTTAATTGGGTGTAACTGGGTATATGTGATACGCCAGCTCCCATGAGTACTCGAGTGGGCTACCACTATGTGTATTAGACTGATGGTCTATATCCCGGGTTTAAAGTATGAACACTCTAAGGTTAGAGCGAACTTGATGTTGCTGCTATCCTCGAGGGATCAGCTGTAAGAGTTACGTATCTCTGCTTATGTTGCCCCAGAGTTCTTGGGGTATGTTTATCCTGCAACTTAGTCCGAGACCTTAGTGTCGAGGGAGTATTTTCCTGAACTCTTCGATGATAACTACCAAGGACACATTAATCTGATGGGGATGCTTCTCAAGCATAGACACCATGATTAACCAACCTGGTCTCTGATCCTGACAAAATACTTACTCATGCATTTATAGTTGAATTAGTGAGTAACAATTATCATAGTCAGAGAAATGGCATGGAATATGATATATTATTAACGGACTCTGTAAAATGACACAAAATGGCAAAAGCAATTTGAGCAATGATCACAAGAAGGAAGCATTGCTATGTACCTATTATGCTCATTAAACCGAAAGAAATAAAGGAAATTGATCACTGATTGATAAAAAGGAGCAAGCAACCATGTAGTCTTGGTTCTCGAAATCAAACTTCTGCGTTTATGAGTATATGTGCTATTTAACCATTAATTAATCACTATATTGGATGTGGATGAAACACGTTCAAATTAGATCTATATATGTATAAATCCTTAAAGAAAAACCACGGGCCAAATCAAGATAAAAATAAGGGTGGTCCTATAATAAATTGATAGTACATATTTTAGAAAAGCTTTATGCTCCAAGCCTTGATACGTGGATGATTTACTATGTAATAAATCCAAGAAAGCAAATTGAAAAAGAAAAAAAAAACCCTTACTTCGTGGAGTGATCATTGAATGGACATGAGAGAGAACATGCAATCATATAACATCAAACCATGCAAGGATTATCAATCCCCATATTCGAACAGACTGTTCCAAGTTCTTGGACATGAAACAAAAAGGTAGAGTTCGTACATGCAAGTAATCATATATACGGCTGGTTATATTAAAAAGTATAATTAACCAAAAATGCAAAACCTGGTATCCATGATTTAGCTTAAACGTGAGCCGAATTATGATGATGTAAGCTTTATGCTCTCCGCAATCAGAAGGAGACATTCAACTCAAGAAGATTTGGTGAAGGGGCAAACCCTAATCGGTCCCACTGGGCGTGCCACTTGACGAAGCATGGATTCGTCCCGACGTCTCCAGTTGATTGAACCGGTGGCCATGACGGTATCAAAACCCTAAAACCTGCAAAAAAGGACCTCGGGGTCTCCTGAGGGTAGACACTCCGATGCTTAAGGCAGAAAGAGTAATTGTAATAAGGTATAAATTGTGGTGCGTAGAGCGTACCTTTAACCGTGATGGGTTGATCCCTTTTTATAGAGCTAGGTTATGGAACCCTTTCTTGGTAGGAAAGTAATTAGGAACCGACCTAAAAGCTTCCAGAGATCGGTTGGACCTTTTACCGAACTTGGGCCGGCATAGTCGCGGATCGTACTAATTTGGACTCGTCAGTAGTCAATTTTACTCAACCCCGATCTTGCTTGACCCAGCGCTTTTCCAACATTAAAATCAACTTTGTGTTTTGGGATTACTTTTTATTTTGGCTGCAATCAATCTGGGATTTTTTTTTTCCCTCAACTTCATTAATTTTCTGTAATGTCTGTTGGTTAATGCTATATACTCCCTTTTCCTCCATGAGTGGATAATTACAACTGTCTACATCCTAAAAAAATAATTTCTATTACAGTTTTTTAATTTATAACCTGGACTATTATTTTAAAACCGCAAGAGTAAAATTTATTGCGCCGGATCAATCAATAGTATACTTTTCTTTTTGTAGTTTTAGTGTATTTATAATACAATTCATTCTGTTCTAAGGAAAAATTCATGTTAAATTTTTGAAATTTATTCTTCTTCTGCTCGAGATTTTTTACCATACTATCAATATTCTTTGAAATCAATGTAGTTACTTTGAAAATGACAACAACT